AGCTTTTTATATATATATATAATATATATATATATATATAATATATATATATAAATATTATATTATATTATTATAATATTTATATATTTATTGGTGTGGTGTGGTGTGGTGTGTCGTGCCGAAAAGGTTAAACTTGCTATTTTGTTAAAAGCAAAGCTTTTTTTTGCCGAAAAAAGCAGCGAAAATTTGTGTATGCAAAAATATCGCAAAAATCTTCTGAACCTACCGAAAAAAAAAAATATTTCATTTCGTTTGTTTATTATTAAATTATGGGAAACTTCTCTAAAAATTGCTTAGTTCGATTTGGTAAATTAAATTGCGCTTTTTATAATTTTTGGGCAAGAAAAGTTTTTTGGTAAATTTTGGTACAAAATTTATTTTTACATTAACCTGATTTTTTCGAAATTTTTGCTACCAAATTTCGCTTGCCTTATTCGGGAAACAACGCTCCCATTTAAGCCCAAAAAAAACAATTTATTATTTAAATTTTTACATTAACATTATTGAAAAAATTTTTTAAACGTAAATAAAAATTTACAAGGGGCTTAATTTTAAATGAGATCTGGCTTATTGACCATTTTACCTTTTGGCACGACTTTATATTTATATAGAATGACACATACATAAATACACACATAAATATGCAAAAAACATAACGTCTGTCAATTATGGTTCAAAAAAAAATTTTTTAAATACACAAATACTCATATACTCACGCATAAATGTAACTAAGTACTGATGATTAAATATACCATAACAAAAAATTATTCTGACCCCCATACAACTTGAATTTTATGATCCCCCTCCGTATTACTGTTCCCGTATTGTGTAGATGGGGGTTGGGCCAATGAAATAAAGGATGATTAGTATCAAATTACTATTACATTTATTATTATTATTTACATCAAATAAGGATATATTTTCATGTCATTTCCTTTTAATGGTGAGCCAGGGGGGTTGGGTTGCCCCAGCACCACAAAAATAGGAAATACCCTTTCCCCCCTAGAGCATCTTTCTTGGTTTTCAAACATCCTATGCTTTTCATGGAGAAGCAATCAGTACTTCTCTGATGTTGCTATGGACGCTATGTTTTTATATTTATCCCCAAAAGTATGTAATATTTTTTTTTTTCTGTCTTTAATCAAACCTTCAAGACACCGTTGCCCTTTTTCCCCTCCCCTAACGTAAATGGGTAACGGGTTTGCGTCCTTTATACCGCTATTGTCCACTACCTAATAGCTACCAAAGGTTAGCTTTTTCCAGTACCCCCTTTACCCCCCCCTCCTTCCCTTCTGGTAGAAAAATAGGTTTCTGGGTTTTAAAGTTTTTTCACCGCTGCTATTTTTTTTAATTTCAGATTTTGAAACCTCTGCCCGTCAAGGTTTTTCCTGCACCTGGGGGGGGTGGTATACTAGCTACGACAGGGCCTCAAAAAACCTAACCTAAGGTAGTTTAACCGGGAAATTCAAAAGTTTAAAGCACCTTTTATTGTAGATAAATCAAAATTTACTTTAATTTCACCTTACGGATTAAAGTATTTTTTTCCTCTTTGTGGGAATTTAAAAAACACACTTTCTGCGTCCATGTTTTCAGTTGTTTCGAACTAACGTACCTAAATAGCGACTGTTTTTTGTCTCTTGTGATCCGATAAATTTAAAATCCAAAATTGCTTCATGAAAAAATCTGCAGGACCCCCACGCAAAAATACGATAATAAATTTAAAAAAAGTAATACCTTCTTTTATTACCGCAATTGATCAATTAAAAAAAAAAAATGACTTTGAGAAGGACTGCTTGACAGAGTAGAGAACAGACAAATCTCATCCCGCCTGGGCCTTTTCCTGGATAGATCTGTATTTCAGCAGAGCCTTCAACATAGGAGGGAGTGGTGGCCTTACTGTTATGTACAGGCAATATTGTCAAAGTACCCACACTTTGATCCACAAAGTCGGGCAGAAGCAGCCCCAACTTCACTCTGGCTGTCCTTTCCAGACATCACTCCATCTGAGATCACATATACCCTGGATGGTCTCGAGTATGGAACACATTCGTACTGTTATGATGTCAAAGAGATAAAGTCAGTGATCAAATAAAAATACTGGCCCACATGTTGGCTCCATCTTCATCCTGTTCCCTACTTGTATGTCTCATTAACAATAAAATGCTTTTCAAATGAGCTGATGTAGGTAAACAGCTCTTAGCTTGTTCAATACAGTAGGGTATCCTTAACCTTGTCGAAACCCTGTCTAAGAGAGAGAGAGAGAGAGGGAGAGAGAGTGAGAGAGAGAGATGAGAGAGAGAGAGAGAGGAGAGAGAGAGAGTGAGGAGTGAGGAGAGTGAGAGAAAGGGTAGTAGTAGTAGTAGGTCACCACTACATAAATTTAAATCAGTAATGATATGACAAATGGTAATAAGATTGGTTAAAAACTCTCGTTTATAAAACCATACCCCCCGCCGGGATTGGAACCCGCGGTCATTAGAGTCTCAAAAACTAGCTTTGCAATCGTTGTTCATTACGATTTCTTGAGTCACTCTCGTTTATAAATATCGCAGAAATAAAATTTCCAATGTCATGAGGTTCATTTTATGGGAAGCTCTGGGCCAAATAACCAGAAGTTCTCCTAACCGAGTCAGTGTTTAAACGATATCCATAATAAGATAAAATCTCCCATCTCACCTGATAAACAAAATAGCACAACCCATTCCAGTCCTCCTTCTTTCCCCGCACCTTAACGAAGTGTGTTAATCCCATGATGCAAAAGGTTATGTAGGGCTGAGTACCCACACACTGCTGATGTAAAGCTAGGGTACCAATCCCACCTCTGACATGCCCAATTTAATGATACTTAACGAAGACTTATAACTTATTTACTTTTTTTTTATATTTATTTTCCGCAGAGAACGAAATTAATACAGGACAACGTTAGTCATGGTTTCCACGGGCTCCATTTTCCCACAGAATGGGAATCTGAATGTCGTCGCGCGGCCTTTGTCCAGATGATATGCCCAGTCTTTCGGAAATCGGTTCAAAATGCAAGTCTTGTACTGATTTAATAGTGTTAGTTAACAACTTTTATTATTATTATTATAAATATTATTATTATTATTATTATTAACATTATTCGTGTTGATGGGTTATAGCTGTTGGTTAAAGCTATTATTCACATCCAAGAAGACGAATATACGAGCAGGCAAGTCTTTAACATTTACTGTTAGTTTCTTAATATCAGATACAAGTTTTTCCTTAACGTGTGCTACAAGGTTCCTAACATTTGCTTCCAGTTCCTGTACATTTATTTACATGTCTCCTTACATTTGCTACAAGTCTTCTTACATTTGCTACAACTATTACATATTACTACTCTTTCTACTCTGCTTCCGAAAAATCCCCTTTTAGCCCTTATCTTTAAGATTGGTCGTTTCGCCTTCCTACTTTTCTCGCCCGGTGTTTGACAATGGTATTACAGGAAGGACGGAAATTGGACTGATGAAAATGATTAAAGAGAGGCATTTTTCATGTGCAAGTTTTCATATTCTGACAACGTTTGTTGGTTGTTCCTTTATCATAAACATGATAAAAACTCAGCATTGGAACGAAAACGTTGTGAGACCTTGCTGCACATTCGGGTTTTTGCGCCTTTTAAGAAAAACAAAGTGTTTTATACATGTGTAATGCTAACAATGGTAGATTATGTTGAATTTCTTACAGTGTTCAAACCATCGATTACCAGCTCGTCTTATGTTCCTGCCGTGGTTCATTGTGGAGGCATACACTGCGTCCTGCACACCTCTCTCACAAGTAAGTTACCTTCCTACACATTTCTGTTTTGGTTTCCTTGGTTCTACAGGCCAACTCCCATTTATTCTCAAAACAGCTTCCATTAGAAAAACAACATAATAGTGTTGGATCAATAACAGCTTAAAAGCTGCTATTGATTAAGCTGGAGGATTTCACATGGATGTGTTCTTAAATCCTGTTTCGTTATTATAATGGCCAAGCCTCAGCACTTTCTTGGGGAATTTGGTTCTTCTTTATATGTGGAAGATTTTGATTTTGTGTTTTGCAGAACGAAACATTAATATACAAAGCGCAACTGACTGTACGTCTAGCTGCGCTGCGTCACACGACTCAGTATTCAAAAAAAGTCGATTGAATTTCACTCGGTGCTGTGCTAATTCTCACTGAAATATGTGTGATATATTCTATACACCAACCCTTTTATATGGTCTGAATACATGGGTAGTGAATGTTGCAACAAGGTGGAAGGTGGAGGCAGTGTAAAATGTCATGTCTGAGCGAATGCGTAGTGTGAAATGTGAAAATAATGTGAGGAATTCGTAGCATGAAATTATGAGAGAGGTGAGAGATTACCGAAAACTATTATCCAGGAGGGCTGAGGAGGGGGTTGTTGAGGAGGTTCAGACCATGTAGAGAGGAGGACAGGAAATAGATGACTTCGAAAGTGTTAATAAATCTGTAGTGGAGGGAGGGCGGGGTAGGGGGTCGGCCAAGGAAAGGCTGGAGGGAGGGGTAGGTTTTAAAGGATGTTTTGTGTTGCGAGAGGGCTTGGACTTCCAGCAAGCGTGCGTGAGCGCGTTAGACAAGAGTAAATTGGAGACAAATGATTTTTAGGACTTAACGCTGCTGGGGGAGTGTAAGCAATGGTAACATTTATGAAGGGATTCAGGGAAACGGCAGTGGACGTGATTCTGGGAGATGGGAAGTACAGTGTAGTGTCTCCAACTTGAAGGGAGGGGAGTTAATGTTGCAGTTGCATACTTGCTCTACAAAACAGTGATGGAAATGAATGATATGGAAGCTTTTTCTTTTTCGGGCACCCTGTCTTGGTGGGGGTGACGGGCGATGTGTTAATAAAAAAATAATAAAAAATTATTTTTACATGAAGGAATCTTTTCTAAGGACCTTGAAGGGGGTGGATGGGTACCAAGATGTGGTGATGCTGGCTTCATTTCTTCAGTGCTTGGCTCAGCTTGGTCCCGCCCTCCAGTATGCCAGAGGAGTAAGAATTATCAATGTTTCTTAATAGATTATTGTATTAATGGCGCTAACCCGTAGGGTCTACAATGTTTAAGGAATACGAACTTAAAGCGGGGTTATTATGTTTCGGAGTAAGGAAAGGGTCTCCAGCTCCTTGAATCGAGATTATTCACTAGCTACCAGGCAATCCTTGAAGGAAGAGGAATTATCCCCTCTTCGATTTTATTTAGAGTCTAGGCTTGGCCACAAACCGAGAGCTACGGATTAAGTATCCAGGGTCTGGGAAAAGTTATGGGCAAGTTTCTTCACTTTCTTCCCCTGCTCAATTATAGTTAAATGGGAACTTGTTGTTTCAGCGAAGACCCCCCCCCCGGAAAAATTCAGTGCATATATATAAAAATATCATAGAGTCAGGAAAATAATGGAAATGTAACCCCCACTTCTCGAAAATTGTCTAACTTTCACATAAGATTTGCAACCCATTTTAACTTAGGTTGAGTTAGGTTAGGTTAGTTACAAAGATAAAATATTGATTAATAAAAATAGACGATAAAATAGTCTGCCGCGCGAACACCTCATGGAACTGTCATATTTAACTGTTACAAGGCCTCGTTAATAAAGTATCCATATGACTGATTTTTGCCAAGTGACCATGATGACTGGTTCAGAGGATTGGGACTGTATGAAATAACAGTGTCCTCTTTCAGTGTAGAGAGCTAAGAAAACTCAACATATGAAGGTATTCAAAAAGTTATATAAATTATTATTAATTTATTTTATTATTATTATTATTATTAGTTTTATTATTATTATTATTATTATTAGTATTATTATTATTATGATTATTATTATAGTGACCAAAAAAAAGAACTTTTTTCACCGTTCATTCACTCCAGCTGTTGTCTTGTCAGATAGCAACTCCGATGCTACAGTTCCAGATACCCCTTAAAACTGCCCTATTCCAACCCTCCAGGTCTCAAGTTTGGCTAAAGAATTTTCGCCTGAATTATTCATAAATGTTTACAGTGCTACACTCCAACAGCATGTGAAGTCATAAAAAACAACTTGTCTTCACTCACTCCCTACAAGTTCATACATGCCTTTCGGTGTCTAAACCCCTCACACGTATAAAAAATCCCAAATTCAACAAGATATTTGGTGAAGAAAATTTCGGGGAGAATCTTCTTAAACAGAGATTTGTGCTCAAGTAATCTGATAATTTTCTTGGGGGGGATCTTCCCCTTACTTATGATATCACATACGGTGGTGGCATGCGAAGAGAAATGTCACATTCCTATATAGGCTTTTGGCCTCTCATCCAGTGAAGCGGGTGCTAAGGGTTTAACGTCGTAGGATAGCCGCCATTAAATCAGTACATTTGTTCATTGACCAATCACAGGCAAGGCCACAAAGTGAAGGAACGTGGTCACTTGCGGTAACAATGCAGTCTTGCCTACTGCTGGTGGAGTACGGTGTTACACTCTTTCTGGCTTTCTGTGTTGCATCTGTCACGGTGATGTACATTTATTATTCTGTCTGTACATTATTGTAACATACCTGTAATATAGCGGGTGAAGGCAATATTACTGCTGAGTCGTGTTTTGGTTCCACTCCTCATTATAAACAGGTCTTGCAGACCATTCATTACCTTTATTCGTAATTCATGAGCACTGGGAAACTGTCCACTTACTGTGGAATTCCATGCACGGACTTAATTGTTGAAAAATGTTGCAAATTTACCTGTCGCTATTCCGCACAGTATTGCACCTGAAAAATTCTCTTTTATGTACTTCTAATTCTACAGAAGTAAAGAGTGTATGTTTGTGATGTGTCTATATAAATCTACTCTAACTCAATAAGGGCAATAAATAGTGATTAATATATCTCGCTTAAAAGTACTTGACGTGTACTCTGTGGTCCATGAGCTGCCCACCAACTTTATGCTCTCACTATAACTGTTACTAATGAACATTTTTGTTTGGAAATATATTAATTAACTGTTAGAATTTAAAATTAAATTAATTAAAGATCTGATATGAACAAGTGTAAAGTTCTGTTCATTTGTTTTTTTTTTTTTTTTTTTTTTTGCACTGCACTGAATTTCTAAAAAATACAATAATTAAAAAGTTTATATGCACATGTTTATGCCTATTCCTCAGTCCGCCCAGTTAAACTTTTCTTAAAATATGTACTGTAGGAGTTGCATGAAGGATTTTCTCGCATTGGAAAACTCTGTTCATATTTTTATGCGACATTTGAGTTTATATATTTTAAATTTTATTTAAGATTAAACAATAGTTTCAACTAAAGCATCGTAACTTGTATTTTATTACCAGGATATTTAAATAACATAATCTGGATCACATATGATTCCACAGTTTGCGTGCATGTATTGTCACACAACCAGAGGGAAAGAGCTAATTACTGACAGGTTATGGAGACAAGGACGTAGGTTGTTAGAACAAACTTTAGTTAGGACAACTGAAGCATGTTCAGTGTTAAAGCATATCATAACTTTTATTAAAACACTACTCAGAGCGACATGTTATTATAAAGCTTGTTCTCCAACTTGTTTCGTGGTCTTTATATTTGGACATTTTTTTTACGGTTCAGTTCGATGAGAGCAGCCGTATAAATTCAGCTAACACCACTATACAACAGGTACCGCAACACCTTGGTTCAAGTGTTTGCTTTCCTCAAAGCAGAGAGTCTATTGGAAGTGGGATCAAGACCACCATGGATGACCTTCCACCAAATGTCGTCTTGGCAAGGTGGCTCCCACAACAAGATATTCTTGGTAAGTAAATCTTAAGCCTTTACATCAGACCTATCGTAAAAAAAAAAAACATAAATATTAAGACATCATTTTCTAATTTATTTGAAGTATTTTATAATTATAAATATTTAAACCAGGCTGAAAAAAATATTTTCATAACTTGTTATCCTTTATTCAAGTTAATGTGGAAAAAAATAATGTTTAGCATTTCTGATAATAAGTTTTTTATTAATAAGAATTCTATCGGATGTTGTAAGACTCTAATTAAAAATTGCTGCAGACCTCAGACTATAACCAGGTTCATTACTTCACTTAAATATATTATAATTAAGACCAATAAACGAAAACAAAATCCGCATTACAGAGTTTTTCAGAAGGAATTGTGACATACCAGTCTGGACAGAAATAGCAACTATGTACATAATTTTATACGTGTTTCCTTCAGAAAACTACTGCTATAATTTGGAACTTTCACTGTGTTTCTAATAGATTATATAAAAAAATGATAATATGAAAGGATTTTCAAAGAAAAAACAAAGAAGAGAGAAGGGGAAGAAGGATGGGAAAAAAGGTAATTAGTGATTTTAATACAGGTGATCTCGCTTGAGTTTGGTTCATCACACACGGTGGGTTGTGAGCACCTTGGAAGTCCATGTCCAGGGTTGTGGCGGGGTGCTAGGAATGCCTGTGTTTTGCTGACCAGTATTCCAACATGAAACACTGCTCAGAGGACGGCTGGGGCAGAGTTTTCTCTGGGATCAACTTTACTTTCGATACCTGGAGCCTGGAGTTTACTGGAGACAGTTCCGGGGGTCAACGCCCCCGCGGCCCGTCTGTGACCAGGCCTCATGAGTGGATCAGAGGCCTGGTCAACCAGGCTGTTGCTGATGGCTGCACGCAAACAACGTTACGAAGCCACAGCCCGCTGTTCAGGATACCGACTTTAGGTGGGTTGTCCAGTAGCCTGCTTAAGATGCAGGGGTTCTGTTGGTAATCCCCCTATGTATGCTGGAGGGCAGTTGAACAATCTCGGGCCCTGACACTTATTGAATGGTCTTCTTACGTGCTAGTGAACCCCTGCTTTTCATTGGGGGATGTTGCATCGTCTGCAAGTCTTTTGCTTTCATAGTGAGTTGATTTTCGTTTGGGCAAGTTCGGTACAAAGTCCCGCTAGGGATTTTCCAGGTGTATATAATCATGTATCTCTCCCGCCTGCGTTCAGGGAATACAGGTTTCAGGAACCTCAAGCGCTCCCAGTAAGTGAGGTGTTTTATCTCCGTTAGGCGCGCCGTGAAGGTTCTCTGCTACATTTGCCTAGGGTCAGCAATTTTCCTGCTTGAAAGGTGCTGTTAGTGATGCAGCAATATTCCAGCTAGATAGAACAAGAGTGACCTGAAGAGTGTCATCATGGGCTGGCCTCCCTAGTTTTGAAGGTTCTCATTATCCATCCTGTCATTTTTCTAGCAGATGCGATTGATACAATGTTATGGTTCCTTGAAGGTGTGAGATCCTCACGACTTTGATCACTCCAGGCCTTTGACGTTGGTGTTCGCTCTATTTTGTGGCCAGAATTTTGTTTTGTTACTCTGATGAAGATTTATTTTCCTCGTTGTTTACCATATCTGAGTAATTGAAATTTCTATCGTTGAATTCTTATTGTTTTCTGAGCCACTGAAGATTCCGGGTTGTGATGTCGCCTGGGGAGCCTTGCAGTGTCTGAATGGAAGACACTGTCATGCAGATTCGGGGTATCTGCAAGGAAAGACACGGTGCTGTGGCTGAATCCTTGATCTATGTCGGATATGAGGGATGAGGAAACAAGATGGGAGCGAGTACTGTGCCTTGTGGAAAGGAGCTTTTTTCACCGTAGCTGCCTCGGACTTTACTCTGTTGGACGACACTCTCAATGTTCTGTTAGTGATGGAAACTTATAGATCCATCGCCGCTCCTTCCTGTTATTCCTTAGCACGACATTTTGTGCGCTATTACGCCTATGGTCAATTGTCGAAGGCTTTTGCAAATCTGTATTATATTCATCTGCTTTCTTTTTATCTTCTAGAGCATTTAGGACCTTGTCGTAGTGATCTAGTTGAGACAGACAGGAGCGACTGTTCTCCTAAAACATGTTGGCCCTGGGTTGTGTAATGATGGGTTTCTAGTTGTGGTGATCTTGCTTCTTAGGGACCCTTTCAAAAATTTTTATGATAAGGGATGTTAGTGGCTATCGTTCTGTAGTTCTTTGCTGT